CTCATGGAAGAAATAAATTTTTTAAAATTAAGTAATAATTTGCAGCAGTTTGGTTTGAGCTAGATTTTTGAATGCTGACAACACAAGGAAAATCTGCCTCGTTTTTCACCCTTGAAGATTTGTGATGTGCAAATCTGCAAGACCAACAATTACAGGACCCGGTTTCAGCCAGAGAGAAGTGCAGCTGTTGGCAACTTCTTTTTCCATCTAAAAATTAAACCATCATGAGATACTCTATTCCTGATGTGAACTTCAGACTCCTGACTAGACCTTCATTTGCTTGGAGAATGTCACAAAGTAGTAGTCTGAGAAGAAAAAAAGGACTATCTACTCTGGCCTTCCAAAACTAAATAGGTAAAAGCTCTTCAGTTTGGGAAAGGTTGAAAAAAAAAAATAGTGGAGGATTGTTTTGAAGGTCAGCAAAATTGATGAGTGGTCTGGAAATGCATAGTAGGGGATTCCATAGCAGAAGAGATGGAAAGCACTCAACAGTAGATCAGCTGAAATTAAATGGAGTAAGTCTTTAAAACATGTACAAAATTGTGGCATTCACTACCAGATACATAAAGTGACTCCATCAGAGCTGAGATATACTGTAAAAAAAATGTGGTTAATCAGTGATTCTAAAACATAGTGGTACAAGTGGTCTCTGGTTCAGGAAATTCCTATACAAATGACTACTAATAATTGGAGTTATTTGCCCACTGTGGTGTCTCTCTTTTTGCTCAACATCTCATAATGAAAAATACCAAATTTGATGTAATCTTAATATTTTCAGTACCTTATAAAGATTATAGCTGATTTAAAGAGCCTGTGGCGTATTCATTAGTTCACAGTTCTGCTTATTAACAACTTAAAACACTTCTAAAGTGTTTTTGTTGAAGCAGAGATTCAGAATGTCACAATATTGCCTGTACTATTTTCTCTCACTTCTCATCATATTACAACAGGCACATTCTGTTTTATGTTCAGCCTCTTGCATGCCTAGTGGATTGGTATGCAGAAAATGAGAAAGTTGATCATTCACTTTATATTATGACTGCACAAGTGTTAGATGTAGGGAGCTGTTTGGTGTAAGACATCAGGATATAAGTACAACTGTTGTGTGTCACAGATTGGGTTTGCAGGAAAGCTTCTGGGGTTTTGCTTCGTTTGGGTTTATTATTTTGAAGTGACTTACTGACTTTGAAATTTTATGTCATATGATATCATGAAAGGTAAATAGCCAGCATTTCAGGGAAGGCAGGGAGGGAAAAAGCCTCAAGGTGTGTCAAGCCAGACATGCATGTCAGGCCATACAAATTTGCTGAACATTAAAAAGGCCAGGTTCAGGTTAACTGGCTGTGAAAGCAGAGGTAATATGAAGAGAAGAGGAAAAAAAATGCTTTTAAATAAAGACATGGGAAAAGTTGTTTTATTTCTAGTTTACTAAAAATATGGAGTTGCACTTTTGATTTTCATCACTAATTGAAATTATCTGTTTTCTTCTTTTTTTCCAGTTGAAGTAGAGAAAGGTTGCCTTGGAGATAAGTTAAAATAGTTTAGTAACTGGTTCTGTAGAAAATCCTGTGAGTTGCAGTTGTACCTGAGCCTCACAGAGAGCTCTAGGATGCCAGGCTTTATTCTAAGAAGCTGAAAAATTCACAAGTCTTATCACAAATAATAAAGTTTATGTGTTCTCCACCTTCAGTTTCTTCAACATTCTGAGCTGAAATCAGGGTCCTTTAAACTGGTAGCCCTATACAGCTTGTAATTTGTCTTCTGAACTAAAGAGCCCCTTGGACTCTATCTGGCCTTGGTTGATTCTATGACTGAACTTTGCTATGAGCTAAAGTTGTTTCTTCCCTTCTCTACTTCTGATCTTTGTTATTGTGAAAGTCTGGACGTGTATACGTATGTGTGTATATATATATATGTATATAGAGACACTGTTTAAGTCCATTTGTCCCTTTTGCTTTTTGAAGTCCAATGGCTGGAAAATTGCCAACAGGTGAACAAGAGAAGTTGCTTTTGTCCTTCTCAGTCCTGTTTTGTGTATGTGTTGACATTGAGCCTACATGCAGGTATTAGTAGTGTTGGGCATTTACCTGTACTGGCCCAATACCGTGCCTTTTATTAGAGCTGCACAAAGCTATAAAAAGATGAAGGTTGTCTTTCCCGCTGGTGGTTTGGCTAAGTCTGAGGTGATCCCTGCTTTTGTTTGGAATTTGTTCTGGATCTTAAGTTTTGGTTGCTTGTTGATTATTTGTTTGGGGTTTTTTAATTCCTCTTTGGCTAGGCTCGTTCAACATGTTCATGGACCATTATTTAGAAGTTATTTAAATCTGGCATTGGTTCTGGGATGGCAGTCAGTCTTCAACGCCAGGTTGAATGCCTTGATCTTTCTTAGTCATCTTTCTTTTGATGTGTTTGAAAAGCTTCATGCTTTTGATTTTAACAAGTTATTGTTTCTTGCTTTGGCTTGCCACCTTATGGTTATGTTTTAACTTGTCTCTCTATTCTTGTTTTCCTTAGGGAACGGTTGTGGTTTTCATTTGGGTTTTTTTAAAGTCTCTTCATTCTAATTGGCACCTTTAATCAGTTTGAGTCACACTAATTTTTTTTTTTGTCCTTTCAGAATCTTATTTGCTAAATGTTTTACTACTTCTGATCCCCTAATAGGTGCAACAGAGGAACACTTTACCCTTCCAGTTTCTTTTAACTTATTTTTAACCAGCTTCCTCTTTTAGATGTAGTTGCCCTGTGCTTTAGCTGATTGCCTCTAAGTTCCTGTATTTCTCTTGCATACTATACCTACTGTGACCTTAAGAACTGATAAATTTTGGTGTAATGTGCTTGGCTGGACAAGATCTTTGTTTATTACCATATTATTTTATGTATGCTGCTCTTGATAGTATTGCTTATAGCATGTCCTTGCTGACCTAGGTGTTCAGCTATTTCACTGACAGTTGACATGAAAGGCTATAGGGATGACTGAGCACGCAGACACTTCAAAAGAAGGGAATGGGAAGTAATCTCAACTGGCAGGATAGACTCTGCTTCTCTCATCTGCTCCTTTTTCTTCTTTTGAGGAAAATTGATTCTGTATTGTAACATACCAGTGATTTAATCTTTTATAATACAGTATATTAAATACTGTAAAACAGAAGTTTTGACAAAGTCACAGTACCTGATCTCTAAGTCAGGTTGAACTTGGAAATGGATTTAAGTCCCCACATCTTCATCTGTATTTTACACAGTATTCATTACTGTGTTAACCCTAAGTCTATGGGGTGAAGTAAGGTATCACAAGAATCTCTTGACCGTTCTGTTAAGTGTTTACTGGTTTACAAATACTACTAGGACACTTCTTAGGAGGAGGAACAGAAGCACATCAAGAAGAGAAAAATTTGGGGGAACTGAATTTAATTGCTTAAGATCACCAATATAAGGCAATCTAGTCTTCAACAGTCTGCATGATTTTAAGATGACTTTTCTATGTACTTGAATATTTTTGGTTTAGTTGGCTTTTTCCTTTTATTTCTTCCTGGTTTTTGTTTCCTCTTGGCAAAAGGAAGGCTGTTGATTCAAGATCACTACCTTGTATGTCCTTATTTTGTTCACAAATAGCTTACTAAGAATACCTATTTTTAATGTATCTGGTACTTTTGAGCTTGAATATCTATTAGTGAGGTGTTCTTCCTGAATATTTGACTTTGTCAGCCTTAAAGAGAAGAGAGAAACCCTGACCAGTAGCTTTAAGGTTCGGTGCATGTCTTACTAACATCTGAGAATTCCTGAAGTTTTGACAGTTAATTGATGGACAAAAGAGAACTGGCTTATGTTATTTCCATTGGCATTCAAAGGCTTTAGAATGAGATTCTGAGGAACAGACTGCTTAACAGAAATTGTTCATTGCATGAGAAGTAACTGCAGTTACAGATTGAATTATTTATAATAAAGCATAGAATTGAATGCAGAGTTTCCATCAAAGCCAAAATGACTGTGTCATGCCTCGGGGTTTTGTATCGATCTTGCCATTAGTGTATATTAACTTCACATATGAAAAAGGTGATTAGCAGTAAGTTAGACAAACTGTAGATGGAAAGAATGAAGGTAAGTCAATAAAAAAATTTCTTGAGGCTTCGTTAAACTAGAAAAAACTGCATAAAGGAGGTAATGTTCCTTACTAGTATAAGTAAAATCAAGTATGATGGAAGTCATGGCACATGAGTAACTCATACGGGGCAGTGTTTCCTTTCTAAATTTTATCTTACGCTGAAATCTTAAAGGCCTCTTCCAAACCAAAGTGTCTTTCTCTCAACTTTGCATAGCAAATGAAGGGCAGCTACAATATCAGGATTTTTTTGGAGTATATTGTGGTGCTACTATTACTACAGACCATGAAGTTAAATGTAAAGCAAAAATGAATACTTAATTGTTGATATATAAAAGCTTGGGAGTATTTTTTCTTCTACCTTTTTTACGTCATACACTTAAAAATAACTTGTGTTTGCATGGAGATTAACTCTACTTGCTTTTATGTGTTATATTCTAACTGTTCTTTATAAAGAAATGTCACCTGTCATATAATATTAGTATTAGCATAAAGTAATAGGTTGTCTACTCAAGTGATTACACGAACATTAATAAATCAATAAAAATATTGAAAATAATTATTGATAAATATGTGTGTTCTGGATTAAAAATCTTGAAACCTTTGTTATTCACTTATATGAAAATATAAATTAATTTATATGTCTATGAAAATATGCACTGCCTAATTTTTCTCTTTTGTTTTTGCATATTTTGATGGACTCAGAAAATCAAAATAGATGTTCTGCAATGGTTCGAGTCCATATTTTGCTCTTTTTATGTGAGCTTATTTTGTAGGCTCTTCCTTATAATTTTTCAGACTAGAGAGCATAATACAGGATTTCTTGCTGTTAAAAAAAAAAGTGATGATTGTATTCATTTTTCTTAGATTGTCTCATTTACAGTGTTTCTTTGGTTTATTCAAGGGCACTGGGAGTTTCAGTGACAGATTATACATTTGAAGACTGTCAGCTAGCTTTGGCTGAAGGACAACTTCGTCTGCCTTCAGATACGTGTCTTTTAGAATTTGCAAAGCTTGTGAGAAGCCTTGGGTGAGCATATACAATATTTATATGTAAGGTGCATATTTATTATATATCCATGTTTATATAGTTTTCCCTTCATATAAAAATAGTGCATTTATGAATATATATGAAATGTTGTCATAATATGATCAGGGAAACACCAGTATAAAATCAAACCAATACTATAATTCATTTGCAAGCAGCACCCCAAATCCTAGTGATTGTGAAGTAGGTTGTAAAGTTCTTACTTTCCATCTGACAAGTCAGCAGAGTGAGTCTGAAGCAGTCATTCCTGAGCAAAACTAAAAACGCTTTCTGAAGAGGGTCGGGAATACTGTGGGATTCCTAATGTTTGTTACAGTTAAGAGTCAATTGCCTTTTCCTGTGACATCTGTGAAGGGAAAACAAGGGATGCCAAACAAGGACATCCAGTCTTGTGACTGGATTAAACTCGTGATAGTGAGGACAGAGGGGTCACCCTTTCCCAAGCAGCAGAAAGTGGTAGTTGATCTTTTGAGTAGGTTGCTGCCAGATGGACTTTCTAATGAAACTGTAGCTCAGTATATGCAGCGTAGATCTTCTCTCTTCCCATAGTGTCATTTCCTGCTGGCTTTACCTTTCAGAAAAGCCTCAGCAAACCTGAAAAATTCACATAAACCAAATAGTAGAACTTGTTGCTGCTGTTTTCCAGTTTTTCTTCTGCTTCTTCAGTCATCCTATTGAACAACCACAAACTACATGTGCAGCCTCATCCTATTAACTGTTTTAATATGCAAATATCCTTCTTTTTTTTCTCATCACCTGAAAGTATAGAGCATAGTTTCATGTTTTCATTCTGTACTGTTATTTCCTTTCACTATTTTTTTTTCATCTTCAGCTTGTGTACATAAATGAAAATAAAGAAGAGCAAAGCTGTGTTGGAGAATAAGGAATGTAGGACAGCTATACACTGTGCATTCAGATGATAAACATATATTAATCCATTGTCAGGACCTCCATCTGAAAAGACTTCCATTAGGACAGGAGAGACTTGGAAGGGCAAAGAAAGATTCTCACTTTGTTTCGAAGGCTCTGAATTTACTGTATCAAGAAAAAAAAGCAAGCGAAACAAAACAAACCAACCACCCACGTCTCTTATTATGCAGTTGATAATCCCAGGATTCAGTTTAATCCTCTTGTTAAGTTGTCTGGCTTCTGTCTGCTCAATTTAAAGCTGTTCTTTCAAATTATGCTTTTCTGGGTTTTTGTTTTGACCTCTAAAACAATTACATGCATTTGTGAGTGAAGTTCCCTGCAGCCCAAAAGTTCCCTCTCTGGTTTGAGCAATTATTCATTGGTGAAATATCCTGTCTGGAGTTGGGTATGTGCCAATAAGAAGGCTATTATGATGGTGTTTTTCTGGCACAGTTGGATGAAGATTGTAATATGACTTCATCTCTAATGCACATTTGATAGAAGTAGTCATTTTGCTGTTTATTCAAAGGTTTTGAGGCCAGGGAGGCAATAAGATCATCCACTTGCATAGCTAAATGACTGGAGCAGTAAGTTTTATCCAATGGATTTTTCATTGAGTGTTAATACTTGCTTTTGAGCAATGACACACTTTTGAGGTAACATGCAATTTTAAAAGATTTCTGTAGTGAGACAAATTCAGACTCCTTTTTGGTTTACATTCTTTGAAATCAACGTAGACCTGAGTTTGCTACACTGGAGAGTTATTTCTGTACACGTTATGTATCTACAGGATTCATTATTATTTTCTGAAAAATTTGCTTGGTCTGTGCTCAGCTGGTTGGGATTCAATCCAGAAGCCGTGCAGCCACAGCAGTGAGTTCTCATGCTTCATCTAACGAAGAGCTCAGGCTCTGTTAATGGAGCTATATAGCTGGCTGAAACTCAGCTGCTTCATACTGAATTCCTTGGTAAAATGACTGCTTTATCAAAGAGATCAATTGATCATAGACTAACCTTCTCAAATTGTGCATTTGTTAGTCCTCAAGCAGTCATGCCTCTCTTGAGACTGATAATTTATGTCTGACCAATGAGCTGATTACTAAACTATATGCAGTCTGTATTATAGTTTTTATACATTGTAAATCCTCTGCTTCATTTGATTATTTGTTGCGTAATTAATTACCCCACAGTTTAAAGTGAGTCTATTTTTACTTGGGCTGGATCTATTACCATGTTCTAGACATTCAGTCTTGTTTGGATTTTGTGCCTTACTAAAGACGTCTTCAGATTATCTCCTTCAGGAAGTGTTAATACAGTTAATTAAATCTCATCTCCATCTTTTTATGAGCTGCTTTATGGCAGTTACCTGCAAGGAGATCCTTGAGTTCTGATTTGAATTGATTTGTTTCTATTGTTTCAAACTTCTGTTTGTTCTAATTCCTGTATCCACTTTGCTCATGAACTAAAAGGACCTTCCAACTTTAATTGTTGCTCCCCTTTCTTATGGAACAGTGGCTTTTAGTCCATCAGTGTCTTCTTAGAGAATTCAGTTTTCTAATTTTTTCAGTTGTGATTGTTCTCAGTTTTAGTTGTTTTGGGTTTTGAAAATTAGAGATATCTCTCTTTTCTAAGGAAAAAAAAAAGCCAAATGGAGCACATATTGCAATCCAGAGTAGAATTTTTTTAGTGACTGTGTTCTGCATGCTGTTAGATGGGGCTTATAAAGTCAGGTCTTAAAGTAACCTGAAATTTTACTCTAGTGGTCCCAGCCTTTTGCACTTTTTTTTTTTGGGGGGGGGTATAGGTTATGAAGGGGAGGAGAAAGAAAGCAACAACTTTGTCAAACTTGGAGCCAGATTAAGGATCATCTGTTTGCATATCCCATGCTTGATTTATTTTTTTTTTTTTTGCTTCACAGTTGTTTTATCCCAAATCTTTCACTTGTAAAACCCTAGGTATGATTTGGAACATATAGCAAAAGCAGATGTGTGTTATGTCCTTCTGTTTTGGTCACTGTTTTCTACTTCTTGATTTTTCTTATTAATTTAAAGTCTTTTTGGAAAAAATATTCTCTAGAAATGAAGGTTATGCATCTGTTTTCCCTAATTTTTTTTTAAGCTTGGCAGCACTGATACTTGTCCAAAATGGCACATTTTTTCTTCCTGCGTGGTAGTTGGCCTCCACTTTGTGCATCAAAAAGCAATGAGTATAGAAAATACAGCAAAACTATCATATGGTAACAGGGTGAATGTGTGTTTTATCATTGGTGTCATGTGGCACAAGACTCTTTGGTTTGGCAGGTTCTTGATGTGGTGTATTCCTTTAGTACACAGACTCAGGTTCTTCGTACTTTTCACTGAAGACAGTATGGCTTTGCTGATTATGTCTTACTTTCAAAAAATACAGTTTGCACCACATTATCTTTTTCAGGTCATATTTCAGGAAAATCCACTGTTCTTGCCTTTTAGACTTCTTAGCTTTTGCAGTAGGATTACTTCTAGTAATTTTTATCTTTAGTAATGGGCAGCAATTTGGGTTTGAATTCTTTTTGAATTCCTAACCGTCTCTTTGCTTTCCTGCCCTGAGTATTATTGGCATCTTGTACCCATGTGATGGGTAGTAGTGATGTCTGCCCTGGAAGAATATTCAATGACCTTAGCATGCCTGCAAGGTTTACCTCCTTACATACTCCCTGGCCCTGGTGAAATTCAATGAAATTCAAACTGACTGGTTTTGAATCAATTCTGCTGTCTCTGAGAAGCCCTTAGTATTTTGGTAAGAATGGCATGAACTAAAGAGCAGTTCCATTTTGACTACTACTCTCCAATATTATCAAGTCAGTTGTGAGGATCCTACTAGACAATGCTGCTATAGGCTTCTAAAAAGATCTGTAAGGAGTAAATAATTACCTCATAGGCCTGGTGCCTGTCTATTCTTGCTCAACAGTCTCTAGCATCCAGACTACAATGCAAACTTCTGCTTTACACGTGTGCCTGAAATGGGGGTCCAAACTGTAGGCAGAACTTTGAATTTCCAATGTAATAACCCTCATAGCTAACTAATAGTTCAGTGACTTCTAAGTGTTCAGAGATCATCTATAAAAAGAAAAAAACTTCTGGAGGATGTTGTCCATCTGCATTTCTGATAAAAGCAATACTGAGAGTATTCAAGAAGGTCAGTTTTGCAGCTGTTCAGTATCCTTTCTCCATTATGACATGAAGTGTCACAGAAGTACATCAGCAGACACAAAACTGAATGTATTATGCTTTTCTAGCTTAGGGCATGTTTCTCTGTGCTTGCAGTTTACAGTAGCTATCTACAGGATCCAGCTGTTCTTCCAACTCTGTCAGACACTAGAAGGTTTTTGGCAGGTTCCCAGCATGCAAGAAGGGAGTTTGTTTTCAAATAGTCAAATGCAGCTAAAACTAGCTTACTTGCTAAAAATAGTGGTAATTATGCTGAAAATATTCTACCTTCAGGGATCTGGTTTTCCTTGTGAAGTCTGCTGTGAAGAATTTAATGTTCAGAATTTAATATTAATCTTGAAAAATGTCCTTTCCATCTTCATGGACTCAGGAATGGCTTTTTCTTCTCTTTAGTGTGCACTGACCTAAAAAAATAAAGCAAAACACCACAACAGCAAATAACATTTTTTATCATAAAGCCTAGATCCTGCGTGGATGCCATTAGGCCAACAAGCATGACTTCATCAGTAAAGACATTTGCTGTTGGCTTTCTAGCTTTTATGGCCTCCATTGAGATAAAAATAATAATTGTAAAGGAATTGAGACATTCAAACCATTTCACCTTGGTTCAGAACCGATTTACGAGACTTGCACTTGGCTTCAGAAAACTTTAGCATAGCAGCTTTGGTCATCAACACGTCAATTACTTTCTGATTTTGAAGGGCTAGAGGGAAGCAAGCCCAGCTTAGATTACCAGAAGTACAATGCAGCTATACTCAAGTTGAAGGAGTGTTTGCCTCACTGATCCACATACTGCTTTTGAGATTGGCTCACATGTTCTGTATTTACAAAAGACAAACCACAAGATGTCTGTAAGATTTGTGGTAAGTCATGCTATTTTCCATACAAGGTTTTGCCTTCAAACTGTATTTTAGCTTTTCAAATTTAATTACTGACAGAGATATTTATTGCAAGTCTTGAATACTACTCACCAAAGGGGTACTCCCTCAGTTATAGAAAGTGAATTTTGAGTCAATTTGTTGCAAAACAAATCTCTCTGATTTAGAGACAGATGTTGGACTACATATTCTGTGTCAATGGTGGCTTATCTCAAGGAAGGATTTAGATGCCAGCTGTCCTTATCCTACAGTTAAAATCCATTTCAGCTACTACAGTGGGATGTATTATCTGTGGACACTTCTTGCATGTAATCCTGCATGTGAGTAGCTGAGTTCTGGGTGCATCTCAAATCCTCTGTGGATTTCTTTTTTATTGTTTCTTCTACTTTTCTACTTGGTTGTGAAAAGTGAATGTTTGCAGAGGGGTGTCTCACTCATCTTTTCATACTGTCTAGAACTAAATCTTAAGATAGGTGCTTTAATGCTAGGATGGAGAACATACGAATGTTCTGTGGGAGCCATGGGTCTCTGGAAGAATTCTTGCATGACCTTCTTCAGATCTTATAATTCAGAAATGCAGGACTTGGCATTGTTTAGGTAATACATATTTGGTCAGTATAGGTCATGACAGACAGCATGGTAGCTGTATTTTTACTTAAAAGCCATGATGTTTAGCAAGGATCATTACAGCAAGCAGTCAAGTTCTGGAGCTGATGTAACAGATAATCTTCCTATCAAAAATGCTCTTATCTTTTTTCAGAAGCTCCTGAGAATGCTGATATTAAACATTTTATTCATTCTTGTTACTGAGAGGAAGCTGCTGAGGAGTCCCAGCTGCAGCCTGGGAACAATTCTGGTGTGAGCTTCTGAGTTCTGTAAATAACTGCCTTTCCTTGTCTGCAGCAGCAAGCAGGAAAACAGGCAACTGCAGAAGGATCTTATAGGAGACTTTATTGCCTTCTTTTGTCTTCAGACTGGAAAGTTTGGATGCCCATGTTACCCTAAATCACTTCAGAGGAAACCTGCTGATCAAGATGTGCTTGATGTTGTATTAGGGAGAGAATCTACTTTTCCTTGCATGCCTGCAGCACCATTTATTATATTCATTGTAAGACTTTTTTTGCAAAACAGAAACAGGAAGCTTGACTTAGGGGGAAAAAAAATAACTAACCATGAAGTAGATATCTACAGAATTATAAAGTTGTTCGTTCATCAGTCAAAATCTGGTTTTGCAAGAAGAAGGACTGAGGAAATTCTGTAGCTGTATGCACTGTTATAATTTTGTTTAGGTCACCTTATAATGTGTCCAGCTCTGGACTGAATGTGAAAAATGAGCACTGACAAACAGGATTAACAGTATAATCGCTATTATGTAATCCCTGATCTTTTTTTTTACGCAGGATGCATCAGGTCTTTCCTGTTCAGTGACATTAGTAAATTTGGAAACGTAATTGGTTTATGTTACTGTCCTACAATACAGCCATATTCAGGTGACCTGAATTCCTCCTAGCTCTCTATGCTTGGTATTTATTAGCTAGTTCTAGACTGTGTTTCTTCATGTTGAACTGCTTACACATATGACTTATCATTAAGGTAAAAGAGACAAGTTTATGTCCAGGGTTCTTAAACCCTTGCAGTAACTTCTAATACGGTTCAAGAACTAATGAGAGCCTTAAAATTATAGGAATCCAGTATTTTATGAAAAAGTTGTGTAATAATTCTGATTCCAGATTTTGTAGTACTTTACACCATTACCATCCATTGCTTCATTTCATTAAAATGTGCATCGTTAATACTGGATTTATTTTTAAAATGTGCAAAAATGTTTTCTAGGCTGAAGCCAGAAACACTTGAAGATGATCTTGATAAATATGCTGCAAGTGCCATGAAAATGAAGAAAGAAAAGGTTGATCTTAAAGAATTTTCAGCATACTTGGAATTTCCAGTTTCTCACACAGTAGAAAATATGTTCACACTTTTTGATGAGGTAAGAAATGACATATTAAAAAAAGTTAATATTTTTTATGACTTCCACTGTAGCCTACTTCTTTTCCAATTGCATTCACTAAGATATGATTTTGAGCATTTCACCATAGTATTTGCCTACTGCTTTTCACTTTCAGCAACATAAGGGCAGCTGTCATCAGCTAAATAAAGCATTTGTTCAGGTAGAAGTTAAAAGGAGTATCAGCTGGAAAAAAATTATTACTTTCTAGATGCAAAATATGAAGAGGAAGAAAGGTAGAGTCAGGCTAAACCTCTGCTGCTGCTCATTGCAACTCAATGCAGTGTCTGTTAGCCGATATTTCACTTACCTTGTAAATAAATTACTTGTTTTTCTAGGATGCCTGAAACTTGAAGGACTTTTCATTCCTCTGGCAGTCAGAATGGGGAAATTACTATTATCTTTGTCTGGATGAGGTGCTGTTTGGACCAGGAGGTGGATATGTCTGCAATGTTCTCTCTTATACCAAAGAGCAGATGTCTTGTATTCATGGCTTAAATTAGGCTGCGTTGTCCTCTGGTTCTGTGGTTTTAATTTCAGCCAAGTAATTCAGATGGTTTAATGTAAAAATCTTAGATATGCAAGTGAAGGGTGACTGCAGCAGTGTCATTTAAGAATATTTGGACTATGACGTTTGACTGAGACTCCGAAAAGGGCATGCGCAGCTTTCACACAGGTTCTTGCCCTCATGTGATTTCATTTCAGTGAGACTCCATGACACATGTAACTATCTTTCTGAATATTCTGCATCTTTAGTAACTGTTTGTTATTTATGAAAAACTGCACTGTTTTGAGGGGAGGTTTTCCTTCACAGAATGAAGATGGTGTAATTGACATTCGGGAATTTGTCATTGCTCTGTCAGTTGTCTGTAAGCCATCCAAAACTCTGGAAACAATTCAGTTGGCATTTCAGGTAAGCAGCATTTTCGTGCTTTACATGGTTTACTTATTTTTAGAAATTTTTTATACTGCCATTAGACTTAACAGTAAGTTTCACATTCCCTTTTAATACTTTATTACATTTTAAAACAATGGAAAGTTAGATTAAGAGGTCATGTTAAGAGCAAATCCATTGCAAGTTTAAGTTGTGTGAAATTATGGAAGTTTGCAGTTTGAAATTGTTCTTTGTAGAACTCTGGTAGAATCCTTCTCAGCAAGTTGAGTCTCAAACCTCAAGTCCTTTGTATTGATTCCTCTAAACTAAATGCTATTAAGTTGTAGAATGTTTGTAGAATGCTAAGTTGTAGAATGTAAACTCTTAGAATATTTAAATCAAATCATACTTTTCAAGTTAATAAAGTATTTTAAAAAAATTCCTACATGTTAGTAGAGATTATTTTTTTATCTCCTGTTAAGATTTTCTTCCCTCTTAGTCTTAGCATGCTTCTGTGGTGGTTCTGCAGTCGTTTTCCAGACTTTATGCTTCCTGGAAGTGCTTCTGATCTTGTTCTACTCTCAGTGGTTTGTTGTAGCATCAGCATAGATCATTAATAAGGGCTTTCTGGGAAAGTGACAGCAACAGTGCTTAATACTTGTCATTCTGTGGGGTTTCTGACACCTTGAATTATTTCTTTTCCATTGATTTCTTCAATATTGCTATTTCAACATGCAAACTCCGCTGTATCCTGCATCATCTTTTCCCTTTGCCTTGAACTCACATGGTCTTTCATGTTGCTAAAACTTAAAAGTACTAACTCTTGATGCTGTCTTCACTGGTTAATGCATGGAGCTGAGAACATTCAATTGCATGGCACTATATATGTAGCCTTATTTTCCAGGTAGTTATTTTCAGGTTCTTCACCATACCTGTGTAACCTTAACTGTGTCACACTAAAGAAATGACTTCCTGTGGGTGCTTACTGTTCACATGTATATGCTTACCTGTTGACCAGAATCAAATTTGACAAAGGAGGAACGAACAAAAATATGTAGTTCCTATAAATATTGGGGGAAATCTGTCATTAGTAGCTGCTGCTACTTACTGCTACTTCTGAGGCACAAGCAGAAAGGTCTCTGTCCTTACTTGGTCAATTTGATCTATATAGTGGCATAGAGAAATAGTCAGGTGCTGTTTGGTCAACTTTGTGTCGTCATAGTAAAATGAACAAGCTTAAAGTAAACTTGAAGGGGGCTTTTGGGAAATATTTTAGTGAAATTTAGCTGTTGTGATTCATAATGCACAATATAATTTTACCATTTGAGAGGAGGAAGAGCTCAGATCGGACAGTTATTTTCCTTTTGGAAGCACTTGAATTTAATAGAACTGTTTCTTAGTAAAATTTCTGCTCTTCATTATCTGCTTCATTCTTCAACTCCTAACACATAATTTTGAGTTGCCTGGTTAATTGCAAAGTATAAATTTAGCTGTAAAACTACAAAGATGATTTATACATGTATTAAGAAGGGGAAGTGGGTATGGCTTATTTTATCATGCTAGTGATGATTGGAAGGGTTAAGAAAAGTCTCAAGCTGAGGAAATTTTGCTCATTATTCTAGCAAAAAAGGAAAGAGAACCTTTTTTTAATCCTTTCCTACCTCACATCCTGCCTTAATGTACCGTAAGATATTCACAGAGCTTATTTGGAGTTACTGCAAGTTCTAACCAGTTCATGAAGATATGACTTTGAACAAGTTCTGTCCTCTGCCACATGGTACTTTCTGCCATTGTCATTTGCTCTCAGGGAAAGTGCAACATTTCACATAGCTACAAGTTTTCAAAGTGAAGGTGTTTGGTATATGGCTGAAGAACTTGAAAAATATTATCATTGTATGCTGATGATACAAAGCTGGGGTGAGTGGCTGATACACCTTAAGGCTGTTCTGCCATTCCACGGGACCTTGATAGGCTGGAGAACTGGGCAGAGAGAAACCTAGTGAGGTTCAACAAAGGCAAGTGCAGGGTCCACCTGGGGAGGAATAGCCCCCAGTACCAGTACAGGCTGGGAGCTGACCTAGTAGAACCAGCTCTGTGGAGAAGGACCTGGGAGTCTTCCATGAGCCAGCAGTGTATCCTTGGGGCCAGGAAGGCCAATGGTATCCTAGGGCCCATTGGAAAATGCGTGGCCAGCAGGTTGAGGGAAGTGATCCTCCCCCTCTACTTAGTCCCAGTGAGGCCACGTCTGGAATACTATGTCGAGTTCTGGACTCCATAGTACGAAAAAGACAAGGAGCTACTGGAGAGGGTCCAGGGGAGGGCCACAAAGATGATTAGGGGTCTGGAGCATCTCTCTTATCTGGAGAGACTATGGCAGCTGGGCCTGTTTAGAGAAAACAAGACCGAGGGGGGATCTCATCAGTGCAGATAAATATCTCAAAGGTGGTTGTCAAGAGGACTCCTTTCAGTGGTGCCCAGCTGCAGGACAAAGAGCAATGGCCATGAACTAAAACACAAGAAGTTCATCCACCTCAACATGAGGAAGAACTTCTTTGCACTGAGGGTGGCAGAGCACTCAAAACAGGCTGTCCAGGGAGGTTGTGGTGTCTCCCTCTCTGGAGATATTCCAAATCCAGCGGGACATGTTCCTGTGTAACTTGCTTTAGGTGACCCTGCCTTGGTGGGGGGTTGGACTAGATGATTTCCAGAATCCCTTCTAACTAATGATTCTGTGATTGTGAAAAATAGGAGTTACAGGGCCACCAGATTTCTACAGCGGTGGACAATTAAAAGAGATTGGGGGTATTATGGCAATCAAGTCTAAGAGCAGCATTCCAGAATAAGAGCTACACATCCTCCCTTCTGAACTGCTAGTGAAACTAAAGGGTGTTGTAAATCTTGTCAATGTGATGCGTGTGAACCTGACCACCAAGTATCACCTGACTACTTGTTCTGTGAAAATGTAGCAGGTTTTATTAAACAAGTCTTGGCCTTGGAGCTTTTCCTGTGAAACAGTGTGCAGATTAGGTGCTAGAGAAGAAAAGTCAAGATTCCTGATCTAATCATGAGTGTTGTCTTCCGTGGAACTTCAATATTTTTATTCCACTAAGGTGTGCTGTCTTGTGACAGCAACTTCTGCTTGTGGAAAAATGCACCCTTATGCCTGTTTTGTTCAATCTCATCAGTTCCCACCTTCTTAATGATGTAGAGAAATTAAAAGGAAGTTTCCAAACTAGCATTCTTTACATGGTTCGATATTTACAGTGTTGTCATGCTTGAAAAGGAGACAGGAATGTTTCAAAAACTATTGTCTCATGTTCCATTGTGTAGGCAAATTGAGTTATTTTAAGCAAGTTTAATGAAGCTGTGTATTTGATACAGGTGTTTTGAACTACACGGGTCCATTTTTTAGGGAAAAACACTGCACATATGTGAAGATGAAATGAGACTGTGAACAATTATTTTTAGTTATCAATCTATCAGTAGTAAAGCTAACTCTTTCTGTGAGGCAGCTCTTTTTCAGGATGTAAGAATATGCAAATTATTGTTTTCTAGAATAAGTATTTGTAGAAAAGTATAGGCCCATCGCTGTATGGGGGAAGATTCTGCTGATTAATACCATTTACACATAGGCATTTTATGCAAACTGGCTTTTGGATGTTGGTCAAAGGAATCTAGAGTTTTACATCTGACCAAGTGGAAAGGTCATCTACTTTATGCTGACCTTTTATCTTCTGATTTCACAGACTGTCTTGGAGTTTGGACATGGAACTCAATGGACTAAATATTATTCTCAGTTACATATTTGCAAAATATGTTAGCATTAAACAGTTTTGTCACTGAATTCCAGTGGTCCACTGTAATTCAAGTGGTTAGGCATGTAAGCATAGGATTTTTTTCTGAATATAGTAAGCTTTACTTTCTAAGCATACACGGGTGAACTGATGATAGATATATTTTACCCACACTAATCTGAAATCCTTAATATATCGCATCAGTCTGAGAGTAACTAGAATTTCCAATACCAAATTTTAATTTTGCATTACTTAAATGTGATGCTGTTTATAGGAGTTGGCATTTGGCTTTGCAATGATTTATCATGCTGTCTTGATTCGTAGCTATACCAATCAGAAAGTGGAACTATAACAGAAGAGGATTTAGCTCATATTCTGAAGACTGCCATGGGTGTATCACAGATTAATGTTACACATCTCTTCAGAGCTGTAGATGAAGAAGAAAAAGGAAAGATTACATACGGTGAGTAATTTAAGTGGGTCAGAAGTGTCACAAAATGTCAAAGTTGCCTGAACTCATGTTGATATACAATTATATTTTTATTAAACTCTACCTTTTGTCGTCTTGTCTTTAATGGTGATAAAAGCAATGCAACAAAGTAAATTTACATTTTAACAAATATGAGTTTCACCTTTGATATCAAGTACCCTATTTGCAAGTTTTCAGAAGTTTTCTCTTCCTTATTGGTACATAATATGTCAATTAACTCGATTAGAGAGAATGTCGATATGTTGATTAGAGAATATTCTGTTCTGTGACTTCCATGTATGTGAATATGTGTTTTTAAAGAAAGGTACCTTAGTTCTGTCTTCTTGTTTTGTCTCTTGTATCTGGGGGCAGGAAATGAGAGGGTTAACCAGGCTGCCTAATATGTAGTGTGTGATGTAGGTGGTATGGAGGCGAAAAAGTTGCATTTGAAAAATTGAGACCTGGGTGAATAAATTGTGCTGGGAGCCAAAGTACATGCGTGTTACTGCACAAAACATGAAGAATCTGAAGTAAGGCTCTAAATTTAGTTGTATCATTTAAGTATGAACTGAGTTGTTCATAGCCAGCATATCATGTATCTCCAGTAGAGGTGCTTATGATATAACCTGTTCTAATTGTTTTCCTTTAGGATAATCAGTATGTATTTAATTTGTAAAGAATTTACAAATTAGGATATCAGTGTTAATAAATCATAGTTTCTACACTAGTAATTCCTATGTTTCAGTCATACAATATGTACGTAAAGGTTCAACTGCAGAAATATTTTAGAGTTACTTTAATGATTATCATTGCCACTGCCCTTTCCTTTTTTCCTGACTACTCTTGTCTTCTCTCCTGGGTTCCTGCTGTACTACCCCTTTCCTTTTCATACCTCTCATCTGTCACATCCCCAGCATTTCCACATACATCCTGCCCATTGCCTTTTTCCTACCTGTCACTCCAAACTGATTTGTGCAGTGACTCAACTCTTCTCCCCACCTCCCCATTGCCAGCTTCAAAAATACCATCAAGAATCTTAAGCTGGTAAACCTAGCAGAACTCTAATTTTGGCACTCCTCATTGTTGGAGAATAGCTAAATTTGAAATCATGTACAAGTGAATTCAGACCAGTTCATGTGATTTACCAAGGAATTAATACTTGAATATTCATCTTTAATAGTTGCATTTAACCTGCACTTTTCCCCTGAGTGGTCAAAATCAAAGAATATCTGGACTGCCAAGCCACAACAGTGTCCACTGAAGTGCTTGGCTCTCATATTCACTATTTTATTTCCTGTAGTCAAGAACAGTCTTTTTTGAGGCTACACAAAGTAGGTAGTAGGATGGTTTTTACATAATTTCGTTAAAACTTTCCTTGGTTCCTTTTCCATTAAAAGCTATCATTCTGTAATAAAAATGTTGCACTGTGACTTTAAAATATCCAAAAGCCTAATAGTAAGAATAAATGTCTAAAATATTGTGGTAGAGAATTAGAAGAGGCAAATAAACCTTTGGTATTGCATTTTTGTCTTGAAAGTTCCTGCCATAAATATTCAATCTCTTGCCTTTCCTGAGAATATGTAGAAGTTTGCGCATGCTCAATTTGTTGCTCTTAATTACTAGGAAGGAGAGGTAAAAAACTTGCAGACTACAGAGTTCTGAAGATATTGTCCAGACAAGTTCTGAGAAATCAAAACATTGTCTGGTGGAAAAGTACTGATGTTACTTTGTACACACATAGCAGAGATGACTGCTCAAAGTCTCCCTCTTTCTAGGGTGTTGGAATGTGAAGCAAGAATTAGGTTTTTTATAAAATGTTATAAATTATCATCTCACAATATTGTTCTCTAAAATATTAAGACCTTCAAAATGCTGAAATCTTGAAAGTGGAAGGCAGCAATGACAGCTGCTGTTAGGTTGAAGCAAAACATTAAAGGGCATGTTTGCAAAAGAGTTTAAGAACTTAAGAAATTACTACTCTTGCTGTTCAGTGATCTTCAGCTGGAGGGCTTCTGCCCTTTCCCCAGTGAGCAGTGAGATGCTATGTCAGGGCGTGTAAAATGCTCATCATGCATTTTAATGCAAATCTGAGCCTGTTTACCCCTTCATACAAGGTGAGGTCTGGCCTGAAGTGTTTCAAGAGGGCTTAGATGACTCTTTGCAGCATCTCAGTTCTGGGGATGTGTTAAACTTAAGCTGAGAAGCTGAAACAAGCAATGAGGATAGCATTATGTTAACTGCTGCTATTTTTCTCCAAAGAGATCATATGATTATATATGTGTAAGTATTCAAATTTAGCATCCTTCTGTTTCAAAGAGCTGATTCTGTGTAACAACAATTTTTTTTTAGATGACTTCTACACATTTGCTGAATTGCACCCACACTTTGCAGAAGACTATCTCTATGCTGATCAGATGGGAGCTGAGAGCAGCTTGGAGACTTCATCTCTTTCTGCTCCTAATGGTATCTGTACTGACTTCAGCCCTGATAACACTGAAGATAAAAACAAGCCCCTACAGAAGAAACTGAATTAACACTGCAACTCTTACCTTCCTCTCCTGGTGAGAGGGTTGTCTTTTCTTGGGATTTTCACAAGTCACTCCAATTATACAGCAAATACCAGTTTTGTGTGTGAAAGTTCTTCTACCTTAATATCTTTCTTTGAATCATATGTGCTGTATTTAACAACATGTTCCAGGTTACTTTGGGAAAGGTGTTTTTATTTTTTGAAAAGGTCTTTGAAAGGCAAAAATGTGAATGTGCTTCATTATTAATGTTCATATTTAAAGGAAGCGGCACACTTATTTATATTCCATTGGTTAGTTTCCTGTACAAAGTGTCGCACAAACTGTGCATGTAAAAAGAAACTGTAGCTACTATGGTGTTAAGTGCACTTTGGTGATTAGTGTTTTCCCTAGTTTTGGGGATGTTTATTTGGGGCCAAACTTTGTTGTCCATATTTGCATAGTCAGTCCTGTTGACTTCAGTTGGATTATTCTCTTGAGCAGAGCAAGCATATTTTGGCCCTTTGTTTTGGTTTCAGTAAACAGTTTGGAAACAGTAATACAAAAACTTGCTAAGGATTATTTTTTATTTTTACTGTTGAATGACAAAATTGTTTTTCTTTCAATCTATTCCATGGTAGAATGAAAAGGAAGGGCTCTTCATCCCTCACCCCAACACTTTTCTACTGTAATCTTCCGGATGCAATTAAACATGAATTTTTTTCCAAACTGACATGCCACGTAACTGTTTGCAAATACATAACTAAACTGTGCTTTTCTCTTATAAACAATTCAAATCACGTCCACATTTTAATGGGAGATGTTTATGCAATTGTATTTGATGTAGATTTATTGGGGATCACAGGTTTCTTTTGTAGCAAGCCTGTACAGATAACACAGCATGGAACACATCATAGAAACTTCATTGTATCAGCTCAAGTTTGAAAAGGTTGCAGTTACTTCAGAGGCCAAGCCAGCAACAAGTTGCAGAACATCCTGAAGAAGTGCTAGTTACATCTCTATAGCAACATTACATATACTGCATATGACGTATATAAAGCTTAAAATAGTTTAAAACTGTTAAAAAAACCACCACACTGATTAATAATACTTCTTATGTTTCCTTTTATAAAGCCAGATGCCTTAACTACCATTGGAGGTCTCAGAGAAAAATCTAGATTATTTTAAAACCACAGCACTTCACTGATTAGTAGATGTTACAAAAGCCTCAAGGAGTAGGAAGGAGGACTCTGTTACAAAATAACTGTGATGGCAACTCTGCTTCTAAACAAACAAAAAAATCCTTCAAGTAATTTCTATGACTAATTTTGTAGGGCTATGCTAAAATGGGACAAATTTTAGCAGAAGGAAATCTGTTTGTACCAAATGCTTTTATAACTATTTTTTTAAGTAGCAGGAGGTGTTTTAAAGCTCATTAGGGTATTGGCATCTGTCCTTAGAAATACCTGTCCATGTTGGGGCACCTGAGATGGGGAGTAGCTGGAGGACAAGTCTGGAGGACAGAACATACTCAAAAAGAGAGATCAAAATTATCCTTTAATCCAAAGAAGAGGAGACTGGAGGAAGATGTGAAAACCAATGTGGAAAACATTGATATAGAGAAGATAGGAATGTTCTTTTCTCCACATGGGTGGTATATACAGGCTCTTAATTTAAAAGGCAAGTTAAACATTAGGAAAATTTCCTTACAATACACCTTGTTAACTTTAGGAGAATAGGTTATTCCAGGTGGGGTGAGGAGCCTGCCTTCCTTCACTGGATGTTCTGAAAACAGAGAAGACAGACAGCTGAGATGGAGACACTTGATTTTATTGGTCACAGGGAGATATCCCTGAGGTCTGTTTTCTGTGATTTTACAGTATGCATTTAATTCAGTATGTAAGGGAAGGCACATGTAGCCTGGACATGTTGCATCACCTCTATAAGGCTTTTTACGGCACGTGGCACAAGCTGGCTGTCTAAGATAGTTATCTTTTGCTTTGTATGTGAGCTTGGGATTTGAGAATTTCAGACTACAGGGGATGAAATAGAGTTCCCTCAGACATGTTTGAAAAGAAGAAAAAGGTAAGCTTAGTATCCACATCTGTGAAAGAGCAAAGAAAGATGATTGAAGTTGGCTGAATATGAGCGTGTCCAATTTGCATATATGGTGTGTGTATCTTGGGGGTCTGTTTTCTGAAAGCCCATAGGTTCATTTGTCTTCATAATTTTTTTGTGAAGATGTTTTTTAATTGTGGTGAGTGTAATGGCTATACTTGTGTGCAGCTAAGCTGTACAGAGTGACTGAAGGGCACTGCATCCTGTAATAGATGGGCCCTTAAACAGACGCCACACTGTGTGGTGAAGAGGCACTGGAAGTCCTGTGTGTCTGTGAGTTCAGACCAGAGCTGCCTGCTGAAGAAGGCCAGTGACCTGCACATTGATTGGTGAGCAGGTACTCTTGGTGGATGCAATAATTCAAAAAAAAAAAATAAAATAAAACATAATGCAAAACAACACTTAGATTCTGGAATGAACTGTGATTCTTCCTCTTTTGAGAAATTATTGAATGAGGTAGAGATGTAAATAGGATGAATGATAAGGTGAAGGATCAGCCTGCATGGAAACATCTTTAGATCTCATATTATGTCACAAAAAGCTGAGATCAATTAATATGATTCTGGTAATTTTAGCACCTGTAGAATATTAAGCTATAATATTAGACTGTCTTGTAGTGAGAGAAAGGCCACATTACCACAGGGTTGAGAACTCAGGCTCTTGAGGGCTAAGACCTGTAACACATCGCATGATTGCAGCAATATTCATTACAACTCATCTATCAAACTCTGACTCCTGAAGTGTTTTAGTAGTTCCCCATGAGAAGCCTTTTTAAAAGGCACCTGACTTGGAGCAGCTGGGTTGTGACAGTCCGGTTTTAGTGACTTGCTGCAAAGTCAGGGTTAGAAGTAGGACAAGAGGGCATGGCCTTAAGCTGTGCCAGGGGAGGTTTAGGTTAGATATTAGAAAGAAATTCTTTACAGAGAGGGTAATCAGCCATTGGAATGGGCTGCCCAGGGAAGTGGTGGATTCTCCGTCTCTGGAGGTTTTTAAGATGAGGCTGGACGTGGCACTTATTAGTGCCATGGTCTAGCAACTGTGGTGGTAGTGGATCAAGGGTTGGACTTGATGATCTCAGAGGTCCTTTCCAACCCATCTGATTCTATGATTCTATTCTATGATTCTAAGTAAAAACTTCCTTTCCCCTTCACCACACATTGACACATAAATGCTTTCCATTAAAATATTACAGATTTTACAGACAGATTGTTATATTTTAACTGGTGGTGTCAACAGCCCTAAATATACAGGGAGAGATACGAAGAAATTACTTCAGTTCTTTGCAACTATTTAACTTAATAAATGATCCTTAGACAGAAAATGCAGGGGTGCGAAGGTGTTTGATGTTTCTGATGAGCATTTTTCTCCTGTTATGTGATACTGCCATCCCTTCCCAGAAGAGCTCTTGCATCAGCCTGAATTTTTACATATTGTATGAGATACACAGCCAAAGCTTTGCTATTCTTGTATGGCTCAACAAGTATACTCTGTATTTTGAATATATTTAAAGTTACACAGAAAACCGTGATATCCAAGATACCTGAAGTTTCCGGGTTTTGGTTTGGGTTTTTTTCCTTCATATATCTCTTTCTAACCCCACTAAAACCAAACATGTTTGGGAGCTGCAAAACATGTTTAAACCACTATCTCTACCACAGTATGGCAAGTGTTATTACAGATTTTTCAGAGTCCACTGCTGTAAGCAGATACACTTAAAAGGCTTTATAGGTAATTCATAAGCCTTATGGAGAAACTAGGTTGTACACTTGTTTTATATGAATTAATTACACTGTACATTTCAATGCATTTGTCTTAGCTAGAATATTCTTAGCATGATAAATAGTGACCAGACTTGTGTGTGTTAGCTAATCCCACTTAGAAGGTGTAAATCCTTAGGCCACAAAGGTTGAAAAACAGACATGTGTGCAGAAGGGAAGTGATGCATTCTTTAATGACAAAGCTGCCAGAAGTAAAAAGAGCTAAGATTCGCACAGAGCTCTTTATTAATATTTTCGTGCAAACTGAATAGCTTTGTTAGCTAGTTTAAGCACTGGGCTGGTTAGAATATTTTTATATTCATAAAATGTAGTAAACATTTTTCTAGCAAAGTCATTGTTGGACTTCAGCATCTGATACATTTTCTAAAGCAGATGTGGTTTTATGAATTTACGAGTTCCCTGATAAGGCCATCTTTGGTACTGCCATTAAATTATTCTTCCTGCTTTTATATTGCCATGTGGTAAGTACAACTTTTCATGTTAACTATTGTAGTCTCTTTCTGCTCTTTGCTCCTTCAAAAATGGAATTCCATTTAAAAAAAAAAAAAGAAGACAGAGGAAAAAACCCCAACACACTCTGACTTAAAGAATACTAGTTGCAAAACTAGCAGCACATGCTGTAGATCCTATGATCTCAGAAAAAAAAAAACCACCACCCTAAGCACAGCTCTGCATATGTTATGGGACTAAACAAGAATGGAAAGACAACAAAATTCTGATTAGAAGCTCTGACCAAGTCACTTTCCTTCTTCTTTAGGTCAGAGTGTGGTGGGTCATAAGACCTTCTGAAATGTTGCATTTTGCTTAATGTGAAGCCTCTGGGTTTTTTTCCTAGCAGCCCTTTCATGAGTGCTCCAGAAATAAGACATAACATATGTGCTGCCTAAGATTCTGTATTAGCAAAACTAAAGTTCAGCTCCTAAAGCCATAATGAGACACAGAAGTTCCTTGTGAACAAAGTATTTCAGATACTTTGCTACATTTTAGGTATCTGAACTTCACCTCATTTGGAAAACTTAAATTACCAAATAATTCTGAATAGATCATTACAATAAGAAAAGGAGGAAGAGTACAAAATGGAAAGTAAGAATTTGTCATCAGTGCCATTAATTAAATCAGTTATTGTTCAGTCCAGCAAAACTGCAAGATCTGTTTCACATATGAGCAGGAAGGCTGAGATTGTCACTTAGGTAATTTTGCCATCCTGATTTGGTAGAAATTAAGCCAGCTGGTCTTCAGTCAGAGGATGATTTCTTGAAAGTACTGCAGCATCATGTATCCAAGTAACATCTTGGTCACCAGCAGTGCAGCTAGTGAGGTTTCATCTTCTCACCCTGCCTTTTTCCTTTGAATTTTGGAAAAAAAAATTCAAACCATGACAGTATTCAAACCTTGTAAGATCTTAAAGGTAAAATCCTCCAGCACCACCTCGGAGGTGATCAACAAAGACAATAGTTCTATGCTTATAGCTATGGCAGTGAACTGGGTATACATGTTAGTCACCAACACCTTGTGATCACACAACGCATAAATTATGTAATAAACCATGCATAAATTATATAATACTGATGTAAAACTACTGAGAGAACACAGCAGCAAACTGGTCATCCATTAGATGTGCCGGGGCTTGGGTCTGTGAGTATTTCCTGAATCTCCCAGTGCTCAAGTTACAGCAGTTTCGTTCTCTAGGAAATATTTCAGGTTTATTTCAAGATAATAATTACTTTGACTTCTACAAGTGGAGGAGTGATTTGTTTTGTAGAAAGCAGCTTCTTTTTCCCCAGATGGTATGATGTGTTTTATGATGTGTAATGGGATTAAACTGAAGTGGGTGATA